TTTGGATGTTTTAGACAAAAGCTTTCCTCACAACCAATCATAAAGTGTCCTGAAGTACAAATTTTTGTTTTTTCTGCTTATCGAGTCTTCAACGGCAGATTACAATACTTAGTTTTTTTTTGTTGGAATTAACTGTCACGTTGTTGATTTTCCTATTTTTTAGGCTCGCAGAGGAGGTATAGATGAGCCTTTTGCATGGGAAAGCAAGGAATTTCTGAGGAAGCTTTGCATAGGAAAGGTGCCGAGTCGAAATTTTTGACTAATTAAATACATCATGTATTGTGATTGACGATATTTTCTCATCGTTAGTATATGCTCTCTCTTTTTTTTTAATCAACAGGAGGTTGCTTTCAAAGTGGATTACAAAGTGGAAGCTATTGCTGGTAGAGAGTTTGGCTCTGTTTTCCTTGGCCATGAGAATCTTGCAAAGCTTGTTGTTCAAAATGGTTGGGCAAAGGTGATAAACATTCTATTTCACTCGAAAGAATATTGACTGAGGTATGGCTTTCTAACATGAGGGAAAGTTGCCTGTACTGTGGACAGGTTAGGGAGCCAGGTCAGCAGAATCAAGATAAGGTTAGTCCTTACATTGCAGAGTTGCTACAACTCGAAGAGCAGGCTAAGCAGGAAGGATTTGGTCGTTGGAGCAAGGTTGGTCTTCCTTCCTTACTTACTAACTTCAAATTCTGGTATTGTTTCATTGTTTTAATATAGATTTGAACTACTTCCAGGTTCCTGGTGCTGCTGAGGCATCTGTCAGAAACCTTCCTCCTTCTGCCATTGGGGACTCTGGAGGCTTTGATGCCATGGGGCTTTTAGCTGCGAATAAGGGCAAGCCCATGGAAGGCATTGTGGAGCAAGTCCGTGATGGAAGTACTATTCGGGTTTATCTTCTTCCAGAGTTCCAATTTGTGCAAGTTTTTGTTGCTGGAGTTCAGGTGATTAAACTTGCTTCCCTGTTCTTGCTTTGTGCAAGGTTGACATCTTAACATATGGAAGACATTCATCAATTTTCTCTCTTACAATGTAGTCTCCATCAATGGGAAGAAGAAACACAAATGGAAATGTTGTTGAGACAGTTCCAGATGAGCCGAATGGTGATGTTTCTGCCGAGTCACGAGGTCCTCTGACGTCAGCTCAGAGACTTGCTGCCTCTGCAGCCTCGTCTGTCGAGGTTTCCTCTGATCCATTCGCAACTGAAGCCAAGTACTTTACTGAGCATCGTGTTCTTAGCAGAGATGTAAGTTTCGTCAACAGCTTCGCTCTGTTCATTTGTATTTTGGTATTTGGACGATCTCAATTTAAGCTGGATTTTGCAGGTTCGCATTGTTCTTGAAGGCGTTGACAAATTCAACAATCTGATTGGTTCAGTTCATTATTCTGATGGGGAAGCAGTTAAAGATTTGGGTTTGGAGCTCGTTGAAAACGTATGTGCTTATATTAAGCACTTATTTTGGAGCTCGTTGAAGATTAGCGTATTAAAATATTTGACTGATAAGGATTTTTCTCTACTAACGATTGGTGGTAGAAACTACTTTTCTGCTCCTAGATACACAACTTTTTACCTTCTATAGGCCGGATTTTGGATTCCTCTATACAAAATTACTGGAACATATGATTCTCTATGTTGTCGACAAAGTTAATGACATTGGTTGTTATTATTTCTCCTTAGGGTCTTGCTAAATTTGTTGAATGGAGTGCTAACATGATGGAGGATGAAGCCAAGAGAAAGTTGAAAGCTGCAGAACTAAAATGCAAAAAAGATCGGGTGAAAATGTGGGCAAACTATGTTCCTCCAGCTACAAACTCCAAGGCAATTCATGACCAGAACTTTACGGGAAAGGTAATATGTCCAGACTAAATTATTGGGTAAAAAGGTTTTTTTCTCCTCTGCTTATCGAGTTTTATCTCTACTTTAGGTAGTGGAAGTGGTGAGTGGTGACTGTGTTATAGTTGCCGATGACGCTATCCCATACGGAAGCCCAGCGGCAGAGAGACGGGTCAACCTTTCGAGTATCAGATGTCCAAAAATGGGTAACCCTCGTAGAGAAGAGAAGCCAGCTCCTTATGCTCGGGAAGCAAGAGAATTTCTGAGACAACGACTTATTGGCAAACAGGTATTGCGTTGTGTCTTTTACCTCTCATCTTTGCCTTTGTGCACACATATGAACAGGATTTGAGATTTTTTTTTATCCTTCCTTTGGAATAGGTTATTGTTCAAATGGAATACTCAAGGAAAGTCACACAAGCAGATGGTCCTACCACATCTGGAGCTGCGGACAGGGTCATGGATTTTGGCTCTGTGTTCCTTCCATCTCCTGCCAAAGGCGATTCCGAGGAAGTGGCTGCATCTTCTGCTTCAGCCATTGCTGGCGGTCAGCCGGCTGGAGTGAATATCGCTGAGCTCATTCTTTCCCGTGGCTTTGGAAATGTGGTTAGACATAGAGATTTTGAAGAGCGATCAAATCATTATGACGCTCTTCTTGCTGCCGAGTCTCGTGCTCTGTCTGGAAAGAAAGGAATCCATTCTGCAAAAGAATCTCCAGTCATGCACATCACAGACCTAACTGTGGTTAGTAGTTATATCTATATATGCATGTATTGATAGATAAACTCATTTTCAGTAATCTAATTGGTAAGTGTATGTATATCTGTCTCAGGCCGCAGCTAAGAAAGCTAAAGATTTCTTGCCATCGCTGCAAAGACTCAGGAGAATACCCGCTGTTGTGGAATATGTCCTCAGTGGACATCGGTTTAAGCTTTATATTCCAAAGTTAACATGTAGCGTTGCCTTTTCGTTCTCTGGTGTCAGATGTCCTGGCCGTGGAGAACCCTTTTCAGATGAAGCTATCTCTGTAATGAGACGTAGGATCATGCAGAGAGATGTCGAGGTAAAGCAAATTGCACGGCTAAACTTACGTATCAGACTCATATTCTCTTATATGGTTTGTTCATACTCTCTGTTATTACAAACTACACAGATTGAAGTTGAAACCGTGGATCGAACCGGTACTTTCTTGGGATCAATGTGGGAGTCGAGAACAAATGTGGCGACGGTTTTGCTTGAAGCTGGCTTAGCCAAAATGCAAACTAGCTTTGGTGCAGACAGGATTGTTGAAGCACATATTCTTGAAAATGCAGAAAGATCTGCCAAAAATCAGAAACTGAAGGTGACAAGCAATAACTGTCTAGTAAAGAATATCCTCGCTTTCAAAACATAACTTGCTAAACCGTTTTGATCTTTTGCAGATTTGGGAAAACTATGTTGAAGGAGAAGAAGTCTCAAACGGAAGTAATACCGTAGAAACCAGGCAAAAGGAGACCTTAAAGGTGAATTTATCCACATGATTCTTCACAAAACTCATCTCTTTTTCATATACAATAAAAGTAAAAATTAAACCTTCAACATTCTTTTCATTGCCTACGATTACAGGTTTCTGTTACAGAAGTGCTTGGAGGTGGTCGGTTCTATGTTCAATCGGTTGGAGATCAGAGAATAGCTTCGATTCAGAACCAGCTGGCATCCCTGAGTATTAAAGATGCTCCCATTATCGGATCCTTTAACCCTAAGAGAGGTGACATCGTCCTTGCACAGTTTAGCCTTGATAACTCCTGGAACCGTGCAATGGTAAAATTCCACTTCACCTTCTTTTATTCCTGTGTCTTTCTTTGCTTCTTGCTCAATTCATTTAATCAATGCTTGTGTTCAGATTGTGAATGCACCACGAGCAGCGGTTCAATCCCCAGACGAGAAATTCGAAGTGTTCTACATCGACTATGGAAACCAAGAGGTAGTCCCGTACAGCGCACTCCGACCAATCGATGCTTCGGTATCCTCAGCACCAGGGCTTGCTCAGCTCTGCAGACTTGCCTACATAAAGGTTCCAAGCTTGGAAGAAGACTTTGGTCCTGAAGCCGGAGAGTATTTGCATACAGTAACGCTGGGAAGTGGTAAAGAGTTCAAAGCAGTGATAGAAGAAAGAGACACATCCGGAGGCAAAGTCAAAGGCCAGGGCACTGGAACTGAATTTGCTGTCACTCTCATCGCTGTTGATGATGAGATCTCTGTAAACGCTGCAATGCTTCAGGTAGGTTTTTCTCTCACCTTCTCTAGATAAAACATGGAAGAATTCTAAGTATCGGTATTAATGATGATGTTGATGATGATGATGAACACAGGGAGGAATAGCGAGAATGGAGAAACGTAGGAAATGGGAGCCTAAGGACAAACAAGCGGCTCTTGATGCTTTAGAGAAGTTCCAAGAGGAAGCTCGCAAGTCTAGAACTGGAATCTGGGAGTACGGTGACATCCAATCAGATGATGAGGACACTGCTCCGGCTAGAAAGCCTGCCGGTGGTCGCCGGTAACCGACATATATATGTTGCGGTATGGTTCAAAAGGGGCCATGAGGTAGAGGGAGAGAAGCATCAGGTCGGTTTCTCTAAAGGGCTTAAAACTTTAATGGCATTGCCATCGAACATTTTGTAACGTTTTAGATTGTTCCCTTTTTTTGTTCTTCTTTTAATTTATACTGTTGACTTTGAAAGAAAATTTTCTATGTAAGAGTTGAAATAAGGTGGAAGTTTGAACTTTGAACTATGCTTATAGTTTGTTTTTGTGTGTTTTTATTGGCCAATTTTTCTTTCTCTCTAATTTGGAACATCTCAATGAGAAGTGCATCACAGCATCAGTCATACATATCCAGCTGAAGGAAGGTCATGTTGGAATAAGAGCGGCTAGATTATTTTTGTCATCGAGATTGTCCAATAAATTGAAATTAAATTGGTTTATTTCATGTCCGCTTTAGTTGGATTTCGGTTAGGTCTTATGAAAACAAATAAATCAATTTTATTCCTCTTAAGATTGGTTCCCGTATATGGTTTAATTTGGTCCGGCTCTTTGGAAAACCGGAACACGAGTTTCGTTTATAAATAAATCTTCAGTAGCCTAGGGCTCAGTTAATTTATTCTTCCTTGTTGGTTTGAAGGAAAACAACAACAAAAAAATGTCCAGTTCAAGGCAGAATGATTTGCAGTCGGTGGCACAGCCTCTAGAAATTCTCAAGTGTCCCGAAGAGATTACGCTCAAGGAGTTTGGTATAATGAAGCTCACAGCGCAATTTGTGGTGCGGTTTGGGATGTCTTTCTGTCGGGAATTCATGTTTAAGTTGACTAGCGTGAACGCCAACAACGATCAGTTTGAGTTTATCAAGACAACTGATAGCAGCAGGTACAGGTTTTTTCTTGTGCTTGTTGATGCGTATAACAGTGTATTAAGACCTTATTACCGAAACTACCAGAGGAAGAATTGTAACAACGAGACCGTTCTTGAGGGTTTTTTGAATCTTGTTCAAAGCGTGGAAAAGCAGGAGGAGATGCATGCTAGTTTCGCCTGCGGTGTTGACTTTTTCGCTAGCATGGATGGTAGAAAGAGTTTTTCACCACCTGGACACGTTTCAGCAGAAATGCTGTATTCAGGTCTACTTGGATCACCAGAACTGCTGTCTGCAGATCTAGCTGATGAGGCTCGTTGTGCTGCTCGTGCTGCTGTTACTGATGATGAACTAACCGATATGGATCGTATACTCGAGAGTTGGGCTACTCCACCACCTCGCATGTATCCTCATCTATATCCTAAAGAGATCCCTCGCAAGCAGCTTGGTCTTATCAAGCTCACAGCGCAGTTTGTTGTCAGGTATGGTGTGACTTTCATGATGGGTTTGTCCAAGAGACTAATGGTGATCCCGGACTCTCGGTTTGAATTTTTCCAGACAAGTGATAGTTTCAGTTTTTTCCACCGGCTTATCTCTGCGTATGGTAACGTATTGAGGCAGTTTACTGATTCTGAGGAAGTGACCGTTGTTTCGGAGTTTTTCAAGCTTGTTGAGGAGGGAGTACTAGAGATGCATGCTTCTTCCGTGGGTGGTCTTGACTACTTTGCTAACAGGGAGGATGAAGAGTTGACGCCACATGAATGCTTTTCAATGAACCCTGGTATGCAGCCAGAGACTGGTATTATCCCTAGTATCCCTGTGCCCACTGCACTGAGATCTCTGTTTGCTTTTCCTCGCTTTCCTAAACCTGCAATGTCTCTACCTGAGAATCCCAAGCCAAAGAGACAGGAGTTTGATGAGCCAGGACTTGTTTCAGCAGGCTTCTTTCTCGCTCAACATTCGGTAACGTTTTTTCGACCTCCCTTTGTTTTTCCCCCGCGTCTGACTTGACAAGTATCTAATTAGCAGTCACACATTTTTCAGGTTGCATCTCCGATCAGGGTTTCTGTTCCAAGCGTCGACGTTGAGAAATTCATTGAGATCGAACTGTGGTCCTACGCGGAAAAGGTGGCAACTTTGAAGGAGATGATAGCTGGGGAGATCCAAATTCCAGCAAACAAACTCAAGTTAAGTTGGAGAAACAGAGTTTTAGAGGACAACAGGTCACTTGCATATTACAATGTGGGACCAGAAGAAACGCTAACACTCTCTTACTGATGACTGGGAAAACGCCTTCCAATCCATTTCTCTTCTCTATCTTTAGTACATTTGGCTAAAAAACTATCTGTAGTGACTTTAGTTTGTTTTGAATTAGCAGCTACTTATGATAGTCTTAAAACATATATCCCTTTAATATGTGATGATCATCACAGTTTAAGCTCTTTTAGTGCATTCTCTTGTATATGCTCCTTTCTTTGGGATGTGTCAAACTGATGTTGATAAAATAATGCTGATGTATCTATTGTTTTGACAAATTTTAACCGGTTCGAATCGACACAATCCTACGGAATGAAAGCGTATTCTTTATTGATATAATCTTTAAATTACAACGAGTTGGATACTCTTAAAGTTATAATGGAAGATATTGAAAAATTCTGTCATCTCCTGCACGTATGTTCAGCCTTTTAGGTGAAAAAAGTTCTCTCCTTCTTTAGGGTTTTTCCCTCTATTTATCTAGAGAATCCAGCATCTTTTTCTTCTTATCGCGATAAGAAATAATTGCTAAATATTATTTAGAATTTGTCCATTCTGAATATATCAAATCGATCTGGTAGATTCCTTAAATCTTAGGAATATTTTTATCCCTTCTATCATATAATTATTAAGTTTAAGACGTGATAAAATTAAACCAACAACTTGCCCCCACCCCACTCTCTCTATTTTCTGAATTAAGAATTTAGAGAGTAGTAAGACATATGGCATTTTATCACGCACATGTACGTGATTTTCATTTTGTCTTATAGACAAAAATGGTATTTGTTGTCGCTTCAAGTGTATTGAGTTTGTATGCTCGTAGATGAACTATTGTCCAAAATTCGCCTCTTGTTGACAAACAGGCTTTAGCTTCTCGCTGCAGGCCATATAAAAATGATAACTGGTCCAATTCCATTTTGTAGTTAATGTCGTTTTTTTTTATCTTTGTTATTTCCTTTCCAACGCCTTAACCGAATTTAGCTGACTTACTGCTCTGCTTCTCTAGTTCTTCGATTCCATGGTATTCAAATTTTTGCCATCTAATCCCCCAAAATAATCAACAACATCCTCTCTGTCCATACGAAATCAACTAAATTTCTTCCTTGTATCTCGGATTTGAGCATTTAGCTCTGAATTTTCTGTGGAGCTGATGACCACATGACCATATTCTATGGAGTTCCTGGCTGAAAAGATCAGAGGTAAACAGCTCACTTTCCTTTGCTGTCTTTGATAAGCTTTTCGGTGAACATTTTAGGGAGTGTTTTAAGATACTTCATTAGTGTAGAAAAGTTAGAAATGAGGAGACAATCTGCTGGTAGGTTCTTAGAAGTGGGCGATAAGCTGAAGTTACTCCGTATATCCGAATCATGTTAATTGGGCTTCATGAGATGTTGACTGTTGAGCCAACGGGAGCTGTTCGGGTGACCTTATCATCTTCCATTGTTGATATTTAGTGTGAACAACATCTAGATATTGTCTTGGGGGCAGACCTAGATGAAGTCGATGTTTCTCTGACTGAGAAAAAACACGGATTGCCGTCTGAGTTTTCCGCTGCTCTGATTGCTAAGGTAGTAACATTCTTCTTGATCTCTCCTAACCAATTTTCTCGACCATTTTGAAGATTCGTAGTTTCTACGTAAGTTTTGGGTAGTCGTTCTCCATTGACACAGCGGTCAAAGAAGTCATGTATGCATACCTCTTCAAGCCGAACAAGAATGGTGATGGCCATTCAGTTTAGCTCAACATGAAACTAAACTGTTTTAGTTTTTCCTTTGAGTTTTCTCCCATTCATCATCAGTGCCCATTATTATTCTTAGCTTTCTATACAATTCACGCAGACATAAACTACTCTTTTGAGTCCTCTTCTTGGCTACGTTTACAACGCAGTATGGAGAATTAGAATCTTCAGCCTTCTCTTTTTATGAGAGAGTTTACATAGGCTTCATATAGTTTTGAGACCCTAGTTCTTGGCATCTCCTTATGTGGCTTACGTTTATCAATACCATTTTAGTGGTTGGTTCTGTTTGTTGTCCTATTTCTCAAACCAAAACTTCATTATTTTGTGGTCGTTGCATGCTTCCGCACAACAATCAACCTCGTGATAGCATTCGTATATATCTTACTTCTCTGTTTTGTTCCTTTTTGTGACTTCCCTTTTTGTGACTAGGAGGCATTCGATATGAGTAGCTGTTTTATGGCTTTTTGCCTCAGTTCGTAGCAACTCAACCACCAACTGCGGTATATTTTTCATAATCATACTATGAGAAAGTTTCTGAACAATTTCCCTCTCCATCGGTAAGTTTTACCTACACTCTTAATCATTGTTTTCGATATTGCAGCCAAAATATTTCATGTAGAAACAGGCGACAAATGGCCATTAGTGTATAGGAATTCCAACTAGAGAATCTACTATGGGTGTTACTCGATGATTCTTGGAGTCATAGAGGAATAGAAAAGAGGGTGATTGGTAGCTTCAGATACCTCACTCTAAATGTCGTTCATGCGTAAGCTGCTCTTTCATTTTGGACACTTGACTTCATAGTAAGTCCTCTTCTCTTTTTCTTTCCTTCTTTTTAATGTGTTGACCTCTATGACGAGACTAAAACTCTGGTATATTTACTTGTATACTTTCTTTAACATGGAATCTTTCTTCATTGCGACCATTGATTTTCAATGAGAATGTGATCAAATGTGCATATATAGCCAAATCTTCACTAATCACTCTGATAGCTATTGTTTTTGACAAAGTCCCCTTGCACTTGTTGCATAAGGTTTTTCTTTCATCTGCCTTATATACTCTTACAGTGACAGAGTGTCATCGCAGTAATTGCCACTAATTTATTTCCATAGCGATAGATAGTCGTTTCGTTATATTTTGAGAGGCTTTACCTCTTCCTTTGTTCAGCAGTGACCGTTTTTACTGCTAGAGACTCTTTAAATGTTTCTTACAGAGCATTCTTGCTATTCTCAATTATTTTAGGTCCTTAGCCTTTGGTATGTTCCTTAAAACGCTAGGGCTGGGCACTTAACTTTGAACATATTCAGCGGACACTTAAATTTCTCATTGTCGATGCTGAGTTCTTTTTGTTTTTGTTTTAGCATATTTTGCCTTTGCTTTATTTTGCAGAGTCCATAAGCATTGCTTTTTGTTAGTCAGTGGCCGTAGCCATTCTCCTTCGCCTCTTGGAACATATGTATACATATATATATATATATATATATATATTTGTTTTAGTTATTCTTACTGAGCGACCATACTCATTCATTTATTTTTCAGTGACAATAGTCAGTGTTCTTTATTAGCTAGCGATCATAGTCACCACTTTAGCTATAGGGCTTTTATTCTCCTTAATTTCGTAGCTAGTATATTCATTGCTCTCTTTTCAGGAGGCTTTGTCATTGATTTCTTGGTAGTGATTGTCACTACTCTCTTTCAGAGGTTTTGCGTCTGACTTTTTGGCAGCAACTATTATACTAGTCTCTCTTTCGAGACATTGTCTCTGTTTTTTCTCTTGGTATTGACGATCGCCAATTTTCTTTCTTAAGATTCTTTTCTTTTATTTTATTTTTCTGAAAAGCTTATCTTTCTTAAGAAGCTTTATATCCAGTATACTCTGCAGTGATAGTATTCGCCGCTTTGTACTCCTTAGGAGGGTATGCCCCCAATTAGCCTTCTGTCACTTATTTCTCGTAAGAGGCGTTGACTTTGGCTACCTAAAATAGTGAGTTTTCACTGCTTTTTATTCTTAGAGAGCTCTGATTTTTAGTACATGAGCATTTGTAGTCCTTAGTTTTTTAGGTGGTGTGTGACCGAACCTAATGCTAATGTCCGATGTTTGACATTTTATTCTAGTATAATTTTTTCTAATGATGTTACCCTTTTATTTAGCGTTGCTCGCTGAACATCACTTTAGGGTTAGTTCTTAGCAACCGTAGTCACTTTAGTTTCCATTAAGGCCGTGCCTTTAGCTTGGCAATGACAGTCATTGCAGTCATCTGTACCAACAGCATCAGCCGTGGTCGCTGCTTGTCATGCTTTTAGAAGGTGTTACCTTTTATTCTATTGGCATTGACCATGGTTGTTCCATGTTAATGCCTTTTCTTTCTTTAATTTGTTTAGTGATGAATGTTGTCAGTGTCTTTTTGAGACAATGACAACTTTTTGATAAAGTGACCGTAGTCTCTAGTTTTCACTTGTCTGGAGGTCACGCCTCTAAAGTTTTGTAATGAGCATTCAATGCTCTTGTTTCTTAGGAGGCTTTGCCTCTACTTTCCATTTAAGTGATCATCATCACTTCTCTTTCTTGGGAGGCATTACCTCTTCTTATTCGTTATGCAGTGACGTAGTCACTCATTTTCGTCGGTTAGTGGCTATAGCCATCAATCATTCTCGGGAGATCATTGCCCCCTAGTTTATCATCATTCAGTAGCTATTGTTGCTAGTATTCGCTAAAATACTTGTTCTTTGCCAAATTCTCCTTAAGAGTTCTTGTCTTCTAGATACTTTTGAGTAAACGAAAATAGTCATTGATAATTTGGCGATGGTGATCGCTCGCTTCCTCTTACAGTGATAACACTGTCTTTCATAGTGACTGTAGCCACTTCTTTGTGAGCAATCGTGATTGCTTTTGATACTTTGTATTCTCTGCACTGTAACCACCATGGTCGCTACTAGTTGTTGGTCAATTGCCTCCGATTTGTTTGTGACAGTCGTGCCAAGCTATTGGGAAAATTTTTCTCTTATTTCCTTGTTAGTAAATTTCGTTACTACTCTTTCTTGGAAGGCTTTGCGTCTCTCAATCTCTGGTAGCTTTGACTGCATTAGCTAATGCTTCCTTGTATTTTTTTTTCTTAACAGACTTGAGGAAAGTACCTGCTGCTCTTATTTTCTGGAGGTTGTTTTTATGAAGCACACAATCTAGAGGTACTCAACCTTTAACATCTTCTAAGTACACTTCTAACAGTCATTATTGTCGTAGGCGCTTACCAACTGACAGTCTTACAGAGCATTGTAGGTGATCACTTAAATTTTAGACAATCAGAGGGAGATACATTCCTGGTTTTCTCTATAAGAAGCTAACGCATTCTAGCTTTTGGGAAACAGTATTTCTTTTATTATGAATAATCGATAGAGAACTTATCTTATAATTTTGCTGCAAGACCATCTTTCTGTTTCTGAACTTGCGCTTTTGTGTTATGTAAGCCGTC